GCGGCAAGGCCCGTGGGACCCGGACCTGACCCCCAGGAGGACCCCAGAGCCACCAATTGAGTGGGGCAAGGCAGGGTGAGTGCAGACCCACACGCGGCCCACGCGCCGCTGGACCGTGGCATAGGGGCCCGCAGCAGTAGGCACCAGCAGCTCGTCCCGCTCCGGCTCGCTGTCAGACGCTGCGTAGCGATTCAGGCTGTGGGCTCGCTTCTTGGGCCGCCCCGGCTCTGCGTCAGCCTCGGGGGGCAGGCACAGTGTGGGCACAGCAGTCGGCACGGGTGGGGGCGCAGGCCCTGGGGCAGCTGGCCCCACCTCGCCCTCCACAGGCTGGGGCAGCACATAGGCAAAGCCGCGGTGTGTGGGTGACTGAGGGAGGGAGCGGGGTGACATGGGGCGCTCTGTTGGCGGCAGCAGCTGCGGGGTAGGCTTCACCTTGGCTGTAGCTGGGGCTGGACCATGAGGTCCCCCAAGGGCCTGGGGAGAGCCTGGTCGGGTTTTGGTGGGAGTCTGCGGGGGCGTGAAGTGGCTGGTGCCTGGTGGGAGGACCTGCCGTGGCTTGCCAGGCACAGGGGGCACGCTGGCCCTCTTGACGCTGTGACCGTGGCGGCCTGGCCTGGCCTCCTTGGGCGGGGTGCCGGGAGCCGGGCCTTCATCCAGCAGGTACTCCTGGCTTCGAGACATGGGGCTGCTGGGCCCAGGGGGCCCGTCGCCTAGCAGCTCCTGTGAGCTGCTCATGTGCCGTGCCCGACCACTCAGGCTGGACTCCTGCCGTGTGGTGGCCCTCGGGGTGGGTGGCAGATGGCTGGAGGGCTTCTCAGCGGTGGTCCCCACCTCAGCTGGGCCAGTCATGGCAGCCTGCAGCTCATCACTGAGCTCGCTGTCCTGGAAGGTGGTCATTTTAGGGGACTGGCAGTCGGCCGGTGTGGGCTCAGGCGGGGGCGGAGACTCAATGGCCATCACTTCAAGTGACTGGGGCGCCTTCCGGCGCAGGGGGCCCCCCTCATACTTGGCATATTCAGCCTTCTGCAGCTCTGCCAGCTTCCTCACAGCCAGCATCAGCTTCTTCTGGTGTCCTGAGTGGGGTGCAGGGGGCAGGTCAGGTGGACCAGGAAGTGGAGGGCAGGGGCTGGGCTAGGGCAGGGCCGGGCTGGGGGCTGGGGCTGGGAGCTGAGGGCAGGGGCTGGAAGCTGGGGCTGGGGCTGGGGCCTCACCCAGCTTGGTGATGCCGATCTCCTGCAGGTCCTCCCAGGTGATATCAGTGATGAAATCGATGTTCTCATAGCCATTGTCCACCAACACCTTGTAGTACTGGGCCAGGCCGATCATGGACAGCCACACGGCCAGGTTAGCCTACAGAGCAGAGACACAGAGGGGCCACCTGGGCTGGCTGCCCGCACCCTGCCCATCTACCTGGAGCTGGAGGAGGAGGGGGCACGGGGCCAGCAGGGCACAGACAGACAGAAGGACAAACGGATAGGCCAAAGTGTTGGCACCAGAAATGTAGGCAGAGCCTCGGCTCAGGCGGCGGACACCGCATGCCCCACATCGAGCACATGCGAACGCACACGGCTGACCGCGTCCATAGGACGCCCTTGTCGGGGGGCGCAGAAGAAGGCACTTTCCCACCCGGCCAGGCAGCCACAAGTACAGCACCATGGGGAGACACAAACACACCCCAGAGTTGTGGACACAGACACACGGGGCCACACCTGGTACAGGAACACGCATAGGACTTGCACGCTGCGCTCCCAGCCAAGCACAGGCACCAGCACCCCATCCCGTGTCACACTCTGACCTCTCACCCACACCAGACACAGGGCCACACACATGCCACACAGCCACAACACACACACACAGGGCCACACACATGCCACACAGCCACAACACACACACACAGGGCCACACACATGCCACACAGCCACAACACACACACACAGGGCCACACACATGCCACACAGCCACAACACACACACGTGCCAACACCCACATCGGTCTGCACCGAGAAACACCCGATCACTCCCCGAGCGGCGTCCACACTCCCAGCTGGAATTCACTCATGCACCTGCTCTTAGTATACTCAGCCACCCCAAGGTGGGCGGCAAGGCCCGTGGGACCCGGACCTGACCCCCAGGAGGACCCCAGAGCCACCAATTGAGTGGGGCAAGGCAGGGTGAGTGCAGACCCACACGCCAGGTGGCTCTTGACAGCCACCAATCGCCTCTCCCACTGGGAGCCCAGAACTCAGTGTGAGACCCAAAGAGTCCACTTGGGTTGGGCTAGGCCTGGGCCCACCTTCTTCAGGCCCAGAACCATCCCACTGCACAGGCATCTCCCTTTTTGTTTTGTTTTTTGAGACGGAGTCTCGCTCTGTCACCCAGGCTGGAGTGCAGTGGTACGATCTTGGCTCACTGCAAGCTCCACCTCCCGGGTTTACGCCATTCTCCTGCCTCAGCCTCCCAAGTAGCTGGGACTACAGGCGCCCGCCACCACACATGGCCAAATTTTGGTATTTTTAGTAGAGACGGGGTTTCACCGTGTTAGCCAGGATGGTCGTGATCTCTTGACCTCATGATCTACCCTCCTTGGCCTCCCAAAGTGCTGGGATTACAGGCTTGACCACCACACCCATCCGCACCTCCCTGTTAATGACCACTGACCATGGCATGTGCAAGTATCGCTGAAAATGGGGTGTCAGCTATTGGTGAGGGCCACACGTGCGGTAGAGCGCGGGTGCACGCACGAAGTTGGTGGGCGCCTGCAGGATATTCCATGCACGCCTGCTGTGCAGGGGCTGGCACGTGCCTGGGTGCGTGTGAGCATAGCCCCTGCAATCTGCATGTGAGTGGCAGTGCTTGGAGGCCTGGTGGCTGGGGGTCTCTGTGGGGCAGCTTGCATGTGCAGGGAGTCCTGGTGAGAGCATGGACGTGGGGAGGGGACTCTCCTGGCTTCAGGCTCCCTCAGCTCCGATGGCCCCTGGACAGCATCACCTCGCCTCGGCCCCAGTGACAGAACAGGGGCTGACTGGGAGGCTCCCTGCTAGCAGGACATCCTTCACTCTCCTCTCCCTCAAGACCCTGAGGGTGGGTGGGGGCTGTGGCCAGGGAGGCAGGCTCTCTGTCTGTCTGTCCGCCCGTCCTGGGCCCAGCCCCTGGGGTGCAGGTGGCCTTACGGGTTTGTGCTCAGGCAGCCAGTCGGGGATGCTTAGGCCGCTGATCTCTGCCGCGATCTTCTTCCGGTGGCCCGGCTTGGTGACACCAATGGCCGTGAGGTCCTAGGCAGAGGGGAGGCTTGTCAGCTGGGGGCTGGGCCCGTCTGTGGGACGCAGCTGGCACCGGCGGCATGTGGAAAGCTCACCTCGGGGGTCATGCGGCTGATGGTGGGCAGGTCATAGCCAGCGCTGATGAAGTTGGGGGCGTAGAGCTGCAGCTGGAACGCGGTGAGCCATTGGCTCACGGCCTCGGCGCTCTGGAAGACACAAGGCACCCACTGCAGGCTCGCCTGCCTGGCTGTGCCCTGCCACCACAGCGCCTCCTCTGCTTGGCCGGCCAGCCGTGCAGCTGCTGTGTCCGCTGTCCACTGCTCCATCTGCAGCAGGCCCCGGTGAGCCTGGCCCGTGAATGATCCTCAGTCCACAGTCCCTGAGGCGCCTCCTGGAGCATCCTCCACCCTTCTGCCTTCTGGGATCTCCACTGGGGGGGGCGGGGGGGCTGCTGCTGTCCGCCACATGCCTCCCTGACTGTCCCCTGCTCTTGCACCAGGGACGCCCCGCGCCATCCTGGGGAGGCAGGTGGTGTGGCCCCTTGGGAGGGGGCTCCGGGAAAGGGGCCTCAGTCTGGACCAGAAGGTAGGCTCTGTGCCCACAGGCAGGGGCACCTTGCCTACTCCACTGTGTAGGACTCAGCCAGCAGCTTACGCCTCCCCAGCACGCAGGTGCACTCACACACCACACACCGTGCCCATGCACGCACTGCACCGTCTCATACCCAGCCCCTTCCACCTGTACACAGACACACGTGTCCGGCTCACAGTCACACCATCACACACACACCCTGCACACACACATGCACACATGGAGGCACAGGTTGGCCCACACGCACAGCCTGTACAACGACGACACCCATACACGCAGGCGGACACACACAACACACACAGACTGACAGACAGAGGAGAGGGTCTGGCCTGGCAATGCCCCGATCCCACCGCAGCCAGGCCAGGCAGGCTGTGTAGGTACCCGTCAGCCCATCGGCCTTACAGCCTCTCCCCGGAGCCCACACTGGGAGCACCCCCAAGCCCTGTACCTTGCCCTCCGATGCTGGCTCCAGCTTCTTGGGCGGCTGCTCCCCATAGATCTGCCCTGCATGGGCCACTGGAGGCTGGGACCGGGCCGCACCTGAGGACGAGAGTGGGTGGGGGACAAGAGCTGTTGGGCTGCTTTCCTCTGTCGGGCTGTGCGGCAGCATCCTTGCTCTTACCTGCAGAGCCTTCTGGAGGCTTGGCGGGGCTGTCCCCTGGGCTGGACTCGGAGACGGACTTCTGGGAAAGCACCGTTGCCAGGAGCTGCAACCCAGAAACACCGGCTTGTCGCCTGCTTCCAGCCCTGGCCAACCTAGCCCCGACCACCACCCCACCTACCTTGATACCCTCAGAGCCCGGGTGTAGGGTGTGGCCCCCGCTGCCCCGGCTGCCAACCACGCCACTAATGCTGCCGCTTCGGTCCCCACCTGCCAGCGTGAGAGAGCAAGATGAGGCCAGTGCTGGCCCCTGCCTGGCCCCACAGTGGTGCCTTGTGGAAGTCCTGCCACCTCTGCCCTTCAGGGACCCGGCTTACCTGCAAAAGGCTTCCTCAGCACCCAGATCTCCTCTGGGGGTGCAGAAGGTCCCGATGAGCTGCTTCCCTGCGGCAGGCTTGGCTCAGTGCCTGCTCGGGAACCTGTAGGTCGAGCACAGCCTCCTGAGACCTGGGCCAGCGAGGGCGGGTGCTGACACAGGGGAGGGAGGGCGGGTGCTGACACAGGGGAGGCAGGGCAGAGGCCGGGCAGCCACAGCAGGGGGGTCCTCTCTGCCTGCTGTTGTCTCCAGGGAGCTGAGAGCCCCGAGGAAGACCCCTCCCCCGCCAGACGTTTAGAGCAGGAGAGAGGCAGAGGCAGCCAAGCCTAGGCATCCTGCTGGTGGCCCTGGGGTCCTGGGGGCAGGGGGCCAGAGACTGCTGGGTGGTGTGAACGTCTCTGTACTGGGGAGTAGGGGACAGGCAAGAAGAACCCCACAAGCTGGAGCCAAGGCTCCCACTCAGGAGCTAGATGGCCGTGACCAGGGGCTGGCCCTGCTTGTGCATCTCCATGTCCTCCATCAGGAGTAAACGGGCCCCTGGTCCCTCAGAGCCGCCACGTGGAGCTTCACAGCCTGGGTCCCTGGCCTAGTCCCTCTCCTCAGCCTCCTGTTCCTCAGATGTGGCCAGCTCTTGCCTGCCTCAGCGCCTTTGGTTTTTCCCTTTTTTCTTCACCAAGAGCAGACACTTGAGTGCCTTTGTTGTTATCATTATTATTTTGAGACAGAGTCTCGTGCTGTCCCTCAGGCTGGTGCAATCTTGGCTCACTGTAGCCTCCACTTCCCAGGCTCAAGCAACCCTCCCACCTCAGCCTCCCAAGTCGCTGGGGCCATAGGCGCACACCACCATGCTTGGCTAATTTTATGTTTTGTAGAGATGGAATCTCACTATGTTGTCCAGGCTGATCTCGAACTCCCGGGCTTAAACAGTCCTCTCGCCTTGGCCTCCCAAAGTGCTGGGATGACAAGCCTGAGCCACCACGCCTGGCCCCGCCCCCTTTTAATGCACATCTCCTGCCACCTGGAACCCACCAGCCTCTCAGGGCATTCTCTGGCCTCCTCTGACTGCCTCATCTCAAGCAGGCCCTCCCTGTGCTCCGGGTCACTGGTAAGTACATGTCCTTTCATGTTTACTTCACTGTCCCCTGCCCTCTCCTGCCCCAGGGCGAGCTCCTTGGGAGTTGGGTCCCCATCTGTCCTGGTGGCCAGTTCAGAACCAGACGTGGTGGCACACAGTGCTTGGTGGAATGCACAAAGGAACAGGTTGGGAACAGATGAGGAGACGGCTGCTGGGGCACCCTGATGCTCCCCACTCAACCCCACACTGGCACCCAGAAAACCAGCCCTGCTGGGCCCCCACACGCTTAGCATGCTCGCTGCTTCCAGCCCCCAAGCCCAAGGTGCGCGGCTCCTGCCTGCCCCCCAGGGTGGGGTGGAACTTGCCTGCTCGCTTGACGATGGCCTCGCCCAAGGAGGACGGGAAGTAACCCACCCGGTCATTACCCGTCCGGTTGTCATGGATACAGCCCTTCCAACGGCCATCCGGATGCTGCTCGAGGACCTGGCCAGTAAGGTGGGGGGCGCTCAGGGAGATGCCCCATTTCGCAGTTTCCTGCCCAGTGCCCCCCAGTTGCGGCAGGACGGCGGTGTTCTGGAGTGCACACGCCCAGGTGCCGCCCCCTCCCTGCCGAGACAGCCCCTGAGGCCATGCTTACTGTGATGATGTCCCCCGCCTTCACATTGAGGCTGGTCAGGTCGTAATTGTTGCAATAATCCTTGGTCGCCCGGACCTGCAGGGCCGCCGAGGCCTCTGGGGATACAGGAGGGGGCCCCCCAAGTCCTGCGGGCTGATCTGGCCCAGCCCCAGCCCCAGCCACTGCCCCTCTGCCCTGCCTGGGCCCACCTCGCAACAGCTGCTTGATCTCCCTGCTGGCCTGGGACGTGGTGAACTGGTGCACGATGTCCAGGGCTGTCTGGCTGTAGGTATTCCTCACGTGGGCATTGATCCCGCTCTGCACATGTGAGAGGTGAGGCCCTGTCAGGAGCCCCTACAGCCCACTGGGTCCAGCACCCCTGGCCCCCATACTCACATCCAGCAGCAGCCGCACCACCTCTGTCTTCCCGCAGAGCGCAGCCTCATGCAGGGCCGTGCCGGACTTGGTCTGGCGGTTAATGTCGATGCCGGCTTGGAGGAGGAGCCTGGTGGGAAGGCAAGGTGGACAGGCGGGGCCTTCCAGCAGGAGGCCGGCCCCAGCACCCCCAAGCCAGGCCTCCATTTCCAGGTACCCCAGCAGTCTGGTTGGGGGCTGAGGACCGTCTAGCCCTGCCCCGTGTCTCTGACATTCACTGAGTGCTGAGCGCTTTTCCTTGTACTGTTTTTTTTTTTTTTGAGATGGAGTTTCACCCTTGTTGACCAGGCTAGAATGCCATGGTGCGATCTCGGTTCACTGCAACCTCCACCTCCTGGGTTCAAGCGATTCTCCTGCCTCAGCCTCTGGAGTAGCTGGGATTACAGGCACCTGCCACCACGCCCAGCTGATTTTGTATTTTTAGTAGAGACGGGGTTTCCACCATTTTGGCCAAGTTGGACACAAACTTCTGACCTCAGGTGATTCACCCGCCTCGGCCTCCCAAAGTGCTGGGATTACAGGCGTGAGCCACTGAGTCCGGTCTGCTTTTTCTAAGACAGGGTCTCACTCTGTCACCCAGGCTAGAGTACAGTGGTGCAGTCATGGCTTACTGCAGCCTCAAACTCCTGGCCTCAAGCAATCCTCCTGCCTCAGCCTCCAGAGTAGCTGGGATTACAGACATGCATGCCCATTTCCAGCTTTTTTGTTTGTTTGTTTTTGCCTTTATTTTTTATAAAAACCAGGTCTTGCTGTGTTGCCCAGGCTGGTCTCAAACTCCTGGGCTCCTGCGTCAGCCTCCCAAAATGCTGGGATTGCAGCATTTTTGAACCACCGCACTCAGCCACTTTTAAAAAAAAAGTAGAGATGGGGTCTCTCTCTGTCACCCAGGCTGGAATGCAATGGCACCATCCTGGCTCACTGTAGCCTCGACCTCCCAGGCTCAGGCAATCCTCCCACCTCAGCCTCTCAAGCAGCTGGGACTACAGGTGTGTATCACCACACCCAGGCTGCAGTGCAATGCACTGCATTTTTTGAGACAGGGTCTTGCTCTGTCACCCAGGCTGGAGTGCAATGGCACAGTCACCACTCACTGCAGCCTCAGCCTCATGGGCTCAAGTGATTCTCCTGCCTCAGCTTCCCAGTAGCTGGGTCTACAGGTGTGTGCCAACACATCCGGCTAATTTTTTTGTGTGTGTGTGTGTGAACTTCCAACCTCAAGCCATCCTCCCTCCTTGGCCTCCCAAAGTGCTGGGATCACAGGTGTCAGCCGCCGCGCCCAGCCCACAGTGAGCGCTGCTGAAGGGCCCTCCCTGTGCTAAGACTTCCCAGCTGTTATCTTATCTGATGCTAGCGTAGGCGCTGCTTTGAGCCCCACTTTTGGATGGGAAAGTGAGGCTCAGGGAAGTTCAGCACCTCCTCGAGCGCACCCAGGAGCAGCGGGGCCGGGACAGAGAAGTCACAGAAGCCCCTTTCCCAGCCGCTCCAGCTCATACTGTACATGGGCCCTGGAGGCCACGCCAGAGGCCTGACCAGGGACCTGGGACCCTGCCTGCTCTTGCCCCATCCCCAAGCCAGAAGCTGGTGCCCTGAGCCCCAGGCTGCTGCTGAACCCTGGGGACCCTAAGGCTGAGGCCCTCCCTGCCACCGGCTCTACCTGATGATGTCGATGTGGCCATTCTTGGCTGCGAGGTGCAAAGGGCTGGTGCCGTTGGGGTCAGTGGCATCTCCTGGGCGGGGCTCCAGCAGCGCCGCACACATGTTGCTGCTGAGGAGCAGCTGGACCACCTTGAAGGAGGGGTCAGGGTAGGGGGGCCCTGATGTGGGGCTCCCCAGCCCCACCCCACGGAGCTCCACGGGAGACTCACCCCAACGCGGCCGAACTCGCAGGCCAGGTCCAGGGGCGTCTTCCCCGAGTTGTCCACCATGCACGGGTTAGACTGGTGCTGTAGCAGCATCTCAGACTGGGGACCAAGGGCGCAGTCAAGGCCCGCACATCCTCAGGCTGCGCTGCCCTGCCCGGGCTGCCCCGCCCCTGCCCCCGCCCCTGCTGGGCCTCACCACATCATAGTGACCGTGCTGGGCTGCCAGGTGCAGGGGGATGTGGCCCTCATCAGACGGGATGTTCACGGCCGAGCCCGCCTTCAGCACCAGCTTCATGGGCTCCTTCCGGCCCTGCCAGGCCGCATAGTGCAGCGGCCGCATGCCTGGGGGGCGGGGGGGGATGCTGAAAGCTGACCTTTGACCCCAAACCCAACTCTGGAGGATGGGGGCTGCTGGGACCTGACCCCTGACCCCAAGCCCAACCCTAGGGCGTGGGGGATGCTGGGAGCTGACCACTGACCCCAAGCCCAACCTGGGGGATAGGGGAGTGCTGGGACCTGACCCCTGACCCCAAGGCCAACCTTAGGAGGTGGGAGGGTGCTAGGAGCCGACCCCTGACCCCAAGCCCAACTCTGGGAGGTGGGGGGAATGCTGGGAGCTGACCCTTGACCCCCGAGGCTAACCCTGTGGGTTTGGGGGTTGCTGGGAGCTGACCCCTGACTCCAAGCCCACCCTTGGCCTCCAGGACCCCGATCCCAGGAGGACCTGCCTGAAATCAGACTAAGACCCTGGGCTGAGACCTCAGCCAAGGACCCATGCAGGCCCCGGGGAGCCCCCCCTCACTTCCCCCACCCCTGCCCCCACTGGAGGCCCCTGGGCCAGTCTTGCCTTTGTTGTCCTTGATGTCCACAGCGGCCTGGGCCTCCAGCAGCAGGCTGATCAATTCCGTGTTGCCGTTCAGGGCCGCATGGTGCAGAGCCGAGAAGCTGGCATGGGCAGAGGACACATGGAGCAGAGGCCCCGGCGCCCCGGGCACCCTGCCCTCCCTAGGAGCCATCCTCCCTTCCAGGCGGGAACCGCGTGGCTCAGAACTCACCCATCTGGGTCCTGGAAGTTGACATTGATCTTCTTGGTGGAGCCTAGGAGCTCTGGGGATGGAAGGAGACTTGGTGAGGGGAGGCTGTGCCAGCCCCTCCAGGTGGCCTGAGGGCAGGGAGAGGGTGCCAGCCATCTCCCCAGCAGGCACAAAGCTGCTGGGCTCTCAGTCTGCAGACACTCACTCGTCCACTCGTGCACTCATGCGTTCAGCTCTGCCCCGCACCCCGCCCCAGGTGCCAGCTGCTCAGGACTTGGTGTCCCATTGCCGAGATGTGGGGGTTCACAGCACTGAGGACTCCGGCCTGGGGTCCTTGTCCTCACCTGGGGATAGCAGGCAAGGCGGTGCACCCACACCAGCACACACATGTGCATGCACACCCCTCCCTTAGGACACTGGCTGGGCACCTGCCAATGTGGGAGGGAGAGAGCCGGCCCAATCTGTCTCTCAGAAGGATCCAGATGGGGCCGGGGGTGGCCAGGGAGGCTGGAACACCCGGAAATGGGGGTATCTCTGGGGGAGGATCTGCGTCTCCACCGTGCAGCACCCCCACTGCCAGCCCTGGGCCACAGCCAGTGTGGATGAGCAGAAGTGGGAGGCGGGCGAGTGGGCTGGCACCTCTGAGCGACCTCACGCGAACGGCCGCCTCCTCCCCAGCGACTCAGAGCACCTGAGGCCAGAGGGGCCCATGCCCTGCCTTCAGGGACCCAGTGTCCTCCTGGGGCCCCCCGCATCCTGGCCTTCCCCGGCTGGCTGCCAGAGGAGGGAAGCCCACCGATGCCCTCCCAGTGGGCGCTAGTCCAAGCAGACTTGGGCCAAACCCCCGCCTATCTGGGCCGTGGTTACATAACCCATTTGTGGGTCAGTCACTCTGAGAGGGGAGCTGGCAGGACAGAAGCCCCTTTGTCCAGGCCCAGGACAGGGTGGGGGCGGGAGCTGAGGGCAGGGGAGTTGAGGGAGTCGAGGCACAGGGCTGGCTGCAGGGCTTACACAGTCACCCACAGCAGCCCCCGCTGCCCCGGCCTCGGTCCCAGCCACTGGACGCAGGGCGCAGGTCCCCTGATGACCCACGAGGCTGGCCAAGGGAGCCAGACAGCTGTGAATTCGAATCTCTGCTCTGCCACTCACCAGCCTATGGCCTTGGCTGCCGGCGCCCTCCCTGAGCTGGAGCCGCGGGTGCTAACGGCCTCCCAGAGGTGTGAGAGCATTTCCAGACATAAAGCGTGCAGGGCCTGGCACAAGTCAGGACTTGGTGCGTGGCGATTACTAATATTAGCTGTACAGGAATCCCACCCCCACCTTTCTCCAGCCAGGGGTTTCTCCTGGCAAGCAAAGGCGTCTCCAGCTTCACTGGCCCCTCCCCCACTGCTCAGACACTGCTGGCACCAGTGTCCCTTTTGGTTAGTGGCAATGCCACCCTTCCTGACCATGGCCCAGGCCAAAACCTTGGAGCCAGCCCTGGGGCCTTTCCTGTACACCTATAGCTTGTCTGTCAGCTCTGCCTCTCAGACATCCCCAGAGCACACTTGGAACCCTAGCCCTTCTCCCTGCGGCCACTGTCACCGACCTGGTCCAGGCCGGTATCTCTGGCAGGATTAGTGCCATCCCCTCCTCACTGGTGTTGCTAAGGTCCTCCCACATCCCTTGGTCCAACCTCCACACCCACCCTAGTTGGGAGTCCCTGGGAAAACATGAGTCAGGCTCTGTGCCATGGCTCATGCCTGTAACCCCAGCACTTTGGGAGGCTGAGGTAGGAGGATCACTTGTGGCCAGGAGTTCAAGACCAGCCTGGCCATCATAGCAAGACCCCATCTCTACAAAAAATAAAAAAAAATTAGCCAGGCATGGAGGCGTGTGCCTGTGGTCCCTGCTACTAGGGAGGCTGAGGCGGGAGGATCGACTGAGCCCAGGAGGTTGAAGCTACAATGAGCCGGGATCGCACCACTGCATTCCAACCTCCTGGGTGACAGAGCAAGACCCTGTCTCAAAAAAAAAAAAAAAAAAAAAAAAAAGAGGAGAGAGAACATGAGTCAGATCCAGCCACTCCTCTCCTGAAGACCCCCTGGCAGCACTGGTCCTGTCTCTTATACACATCTAGATGTGTATAAGAGACAGGGTTGAAGCTACACTGAGCCGGGATCGCACCACTGCATTCCAACCTCCTGGGTGACAGAGCAAGACCCTGTCTCAAAAAAAAAAAAAAAAAAAAAAAAAAGAGGAGAGAGAACATGAGTCAGATCCAGCCACTCCTCTCCTGAAGACCCCCTGGCAGCACTCACTGGGAGGGGAGGCCGACACTGGGCAGCGGCCGTGGTGGGAGGGGAGGCCGACACTGGGCAGTGGCCGTGCTGGGAGGGGAGGCTGAGATTGGACAGCGTCCGTGCGTGGGGCTCCTGTTTTGCTCTCAGTTCTCATTACTTCCACCATTACTGCTGTAGCTGCACAGCCCTCCAGACGTTCCTCTAGCATATAGTCTGCCCTGCCCAGGGCCTTTCCACATGCCCTGTGTGCATGTGTGGGCTCCTCTTCCCCAGTTAACCCCACAGCCTCTCTCACGTTTTTCAGGTCCTTACCCACAGGCTGCTCACTCAGCATGCCCTCCCCATCTGAAGTGGTGACCCTGCCCGCCCCGCAGCTGCTGTGCTTGGCTCTGCAGCCCTCATCACCACCTGCCACGTCCAGCTCCTTCTGCTCTTGCTCCTACCCATCTCCATCATTCAACTACCGGCACCAAGGGGACAAGGGCCCTCATCTGTTCTGCTCACGAAAGAATCCTCAGTGGCTAAAACAGTGCCCCGTGCAGATGAGGTGCTCAGTCAGCAGCAGACTGGACCCATCTCTTCATCCCCCACACCCTGCCTGGCCGCCGAGGGGACTTCATGGGCGTGTGGCCTGTGCTTGGCTCAGAAGGACCCCATGCCTGCGGATGCTCTCCTGTCACCATCTTGAAATTCTTTTTTTTTTTTTTTTTTTTCTGTCTGGAAACAAAGTTTCATTCTTGTTGCCCAGGCTGGAGTGCAATGGTGCTATCTTGGCTCACCACAACCTCCACCTCCTGGGTTCAAGCAATTCTCCTGTCTTAGCCTCCTGAGTAGCTGGGATTACAGGCATGAACCACCACGCCCAGCTAATTTTGTATTTTTAGTAGAGATGGGGTTTCTCCACGTTGGTCAGGCTGGTCTCGAACTCCTGACCTCAGGTGATCCGCCTGCCTCAGCCTCCCAAAGTGCTGGGATTACAGGCCGAGTCACCGTGCCCGGCCTGAAATTCTTATTTTTGAGCAAGGGGCCCTGCGTTTACATTTTGCATGGGGACCTGGGAATTATGTCGTAGGGCCTGCCACCATCCCTTACCATTAGCTGAAGGGAGCGCAGGTGTCACTGTCCCGTGCGTCCCTGCCAGGGCCACACTCAGGAGGTTCTCCCCCCAGAACACTGAGCCCCGCTCTTCCCAGCTCCAGGGTAGCCAGCCCTCAGCATGTCCCCAGGATTGCCCAAGCCAGGCCCTATCATCCCTCCCCCAGCTAAGGCAGCCAGAGTGGAAACCACCTTCTCACCCAGCCACACCTGCAGGGGCTGAAATCTCGGGGGGCTGGAGGTCAAAGCCCAGAAGGTGACAGCTGCTAGTGGGGGAGGATGTCTCCCTCAGGAAGGGGACCACCCCCATGTGAGAAGGAGTGCCTTAGTAAAGCCATCTCATCCCTCTCCCCACCCATGGTCTCCTCAAGGGGGAAAATGGCTGAAATTGGATGGAGGGAGCTTGAGGTCTTGGGACATGCTAACCCCAATTCCTGTGGGAGACAGTGGTTACCCAGGAAGGTCCCAGAACTGAGAAGGGCCTGGGGCTGGGGGCTGTTTCACCTGGAAATGGGTTCTCTGGATGAAGCAGGAGCGAGCATAACTGGAGGGGACCAGGGCCAGAATGAAAGCCCAGGAGCCCCCCTCCCTCTCCATGAGGTCCCTAAGCCCTGTGACTCTATGACGGTAAAGCCCTTACCCCTGACCAGCCCTCTCACTGCTATCCTGAGCCTGTCCCCAACTCTGGGATCTGGTTCATACCCCGGGCTAGAAGGGAGCTACTGGGGGGCTATTAGAAGGTGAGAGGGGGGCGGGGCGCTGGCCCTTGGTGCCCAGGGGCGTCCTCCAGGGCATTCTCAGACCTGCCTCCACGGACAGGGGGCCTCCCTGGATAGGGTCTGGGTCAGAGGGAAGAGTGGGTCCCTCCCGACCAGCAGGAGGCCAGCCCCTGCCCCGGCATCTCCCCCAGAACAGGCTCCTCTTCCACTCAAGGACAGCTGCTAAGTGTGTGCATGCGGGCACGGGAGGCTCCCTTCAGGGCGGGGTGAGTGGGGGGCTGGCTGAGCCTGGGGTGACTCTGGAGAAGGCGGTGGAAGGAAGGGGCCGGGCGCCCAGAGGGGACCATGGAAGTAAGGCTCATGGGGACAGCCCTGGGCTCAGGGGGCCCTGGAGGACACTGCTGGACACCCCCCACCTCGTGGCCCAAACTCAGCTGTACTTTACTGAATCAAAATACATCTTACTCCAAAGCAGGGCAGCGTTGCCATGACGACGGAGCTAATTCATGGAGGGATTTCTCCTCTGATTTATTACACCCGCCCCTGTGAGTCAGACAGCAGGAGCCGGGGCCAGGGCAGGTGTCTCTCCTGCCCCAGAGGCCAGGCAAGACAGGCAGAGACCCAGGTGAGGATGGAAGCCCCCAGAATGGCCACAATAGAAGGGAGGAGGAACCTCCCCAGAGCTGAAGCCCCCACTTCCCCGGCCCCTGGACCTGGGCCGTCTAAGGCTGCGGTCGTTGCTGGCATTTACTGAGCACTTACTGAATGCCTGGGCTCCAAGCGCCCAGGCTCACTGATCTTAGGACCCCGCCGTGAGGCTGACATCCCATCCTACAGACGAGGAGACTGAGGTCCACCGAGTTGGAGCTGTCTGTGTCCAAGGTCATGCGACCACTAGGTGGAAGCCTTTACCTTGCCTTCCCTCTCAATCCCTACACCTGATCTCCAGGCTCAGCTGAAGCTGCCTCT